CAAAAAGCAATTTAAAAAATTTTTTAAATGTTGTTACCTATTGCTCAACTCCCTCCACAACCCTGAATTTGCTCAATCTTCATAGTCTTTGCAAAACAGAAACAAAAACAGACCAAACATTTTTTAATGATTTTGTTTGTTATCTTCTTTAATCACTGTATTTTTTAAAAAACAAATTTCCCGCTCATTAAACATCTGTTGCAATGACACTGAATGAACTCTTCCTTAGTTCCAGTAATTTGGGGAAATTTTGTCTCTTTTGCTTTCTTTGAGGTTTAGTGGTTATTTAGTTGTTTTATTTATTTATTTATTTATGGTCTTGTTTTGTAGTTACTTGAGTCAAATTTATTAATCCATTTGTGTTATTGTTTTGAAATACCTATAAATCTATTTCCTCTGACTAGAAGATTAGGTATAGCTCAAAAATATGTATTATATGGGCTGTCTGCTATTCTTGTGAAAGTGGCTATAACTGGCTGATTTTCTTTTTGTTAGAAGTTATTTTGAAAGTATAGGTAATTTTTTGAAAGTTCCATAATAAATTTCTGGAAAATAGAATAATACCTAACAGTTATTTAGTGCCATGTACTTTAATTCTCAAAAACCTCTGAATGTGATTGCTGTTCTTATCTGATAGAGGAAGAAATTGAGTCAGAGAGGAGGAGTTAAGACATTTCCCTATAGTCACAAAGTCTGTAAATTAGAGAATTAATAAAGCTATGCTTTGGGGAATTTATTAAAGATTTATCTATAATGTAGCATCAATTTGATAAAGTTCTTTAAGCATTGGGAGAGTAAGACATAGTCTCTAAAGGATATGAAATTGATTATATAGCTATTAAATCAATTTTCTAAAATAGATCATTTAATCTGATTTAGCAAAAATGTCTTATAATTCCCAAAATTCTTGACTTTAAAGATTTTTTTTCTTCTATTTTGATACACAAAGATTTAGATGTGCCATATCTTCGCTGTGAATTAGGTAACCTTTTTCCCTTTATTACCTTCTGCCTGTGTGATGGTTTTTAATATTAAAACGGCATCTCCTGATTTCTTTTCGTTTTCATTTATTTAAGGTCTGTTTTTTAAAAAATATTTTTTTAGTTGAAAGTGGACACAATACCTTTATTTTATTTATTTATATGGTGCTGAGGATCGAACCCAGGGCCTCACACGTGTTAGGAGAGCAACTACGGAGCCACAACCCCTGCCCTATTTAAGGTATCTTTATCTTATTTTTGATGTTACTTGACTTTAGGAACCAGGTCTCTGGCAGACAACAAAGACCTGAATTCTGCTCATAGACATATCTGCCCCATCACATAGCCTTGGCTGATGTCTTGAGTCGCTGCCTTGTTTTATATTTCCCTTTACTGTTTCCTCGTTAGCTTCAGTTACTAAATACTTTTTTTCTTTTTTCTTTTCTAGGATGAAACATATAATCAGGCTTAAATTAATGTACCATTATCTTTACCCTTTCAGACATCATTTTTAAAATCATAGAAGAGTACAATGGTATCTTTTCAATCTTCTCCTTTAGAGGCAAGAAATTTCATTCTGGTTACTTTCCATAGTTCCTTACTAATGGTAAAGATTTTAATCCAAATAATTATTTTAAAAATCATTATCCTTTTCAATTTGACAAAGTTCCTTAAGCATTGGGAGAGTCTCTCTATAGGATATGAAATTGATTATATAGCTATTAAATCAATTTTCTAAAATAGATCATTTAATCTGATTTAGCAAAAATGTCTTATAATTCCCAAATTTCTTGACTTTAAAGATTTTTTTCTTTTAAACAAAAATCTTTTTTGTTTAAAAAAATGTTCTGATGTTGCATTTACTTTTGTAGTCAGATTTACAGTTATTCAAAATGAACTCCACCTGCTGGGCTTCATCATTCATCACCAATTCTTGAACTCTAAGATCTCCCTTTATTGAGTTATTACTAATTTTTTCAGTTCTTAATCGTTTGCAATGGGTGATTTTCATAAGAAATGTATATGAGATCCCACCTATACAAGATTTTCTTGCATACACAACCTAAAAACCTGCCTGGATATAAAATTTGGGAGACTTTTATTGTCAAAATTCTGCAGTTTTATTGTATAGTTTCATGAGAGTTATAGAGAAGCAAGAGACCAACTTAAACTGGTTCCCTTGTAAGAGACCCAAGTTACCCTACTGGATTTTTCCCAAATGTTTATATTATTTCTTCATCTCAGAATTATAAAAATCCTACCAGTATTTATTGAGACTTGACTCCTCCTCAATAAACTCATTTACTACACACTGCTTCTTTCTTAGAAAAAAATTCCTTCAATTTTTTTCCATTTATTTTTACCCTTTTTTGTTCTCTTTTTATTGGAATCACAATGTACACAAATTGTAGGGTCTGGATCTGTGTGAACATGCTACAAAGCACTGCTTCCATTGTAATTTTTAAGTACAATCATGTTTTCAAAAGAACTGCCTACATTTAATTTCTTCCCTTAGCTATTTATTTCTAGTCTTCTTCTGCTGCTGCTTTTTTTTTTTTTTTTTGTAGCTGTGGATGAAGAGAATTCCTTTATTTTGTTTATTTTTATTGGTGCTAAGGATGGAATCCAGTGCCTCACCCAGACTAGGCAAGTGCTCTGCTACTGAGCTATAGCCCCAGCCCCTCCTTAGTCTATTCTTAACAATTAGTTCACCTTCAACCCATCACCATTCCACAGAAACCATTGCCATGGGAGGCCACAGATGGCTATAATGCCAAAGTCAAAGACAAGATCAAGTCTATAACACTGCCATGTCCACATATGTGGATGTTCTTTCCCAGTTCTGTCTTCCTTTGTTTATTCATAAAGGATGGGCTTTCTCAGGATTCTGTCCCAGGTTCTTTTCTCTCACTATCCAAAAGGCAATTTTACCTATTCTTCACTGTTTCAGTAAAACTTCTAAACAAATGACTCCCCCACGCCTAGATGTTTTGTTTTGTTTTTTTCCCCTGAACTGCAGACCTATGCTGTTCACCATCTGATGAATCTCTCTTCTTGGATGAACCAGAGCACACAACCTCAGCATGTCCAACTCTGAACCCTTCATCTTCTACTGCAAACCTGTCCCTCCTCCAAAATTACCTATCTCACCACCATTCATTCACTCAGAGGTCTAAGCTAGAGACCCAAAGCTCTCCTCCAGCCTGCTGTAGCCCTGACCTATTCACCACAAGAGTACTATTGATTATCCTTTCCAAGTGTCTCTTCAATCTATCCACTTCAAACATTCTTTCAGACTTCTGTTCTCTCATCTGGCCTGTCTGCCTCCAGTTTGCCACTCCCTTATCTTGGATCTCTGCATCTGCTCTTGGCTGTCCTCCTACTCCTCCAATCCATTCCTCAAACTATAGCCAGTTATCTTTCTACACCGTAAATTCAATTAAGACTGTTGGCATTCCCCACTTCAGCCTGCCTCTCAAGCCTCAATTCTCTCAACCCCTACCTCCCTTCTCCACAACCTAAATCACGTGAATATTTTCTGGATTCCTAGCACACACTGGTTTATCTTTCACCTTGGACCTTTGCACATAATGAGCTCTACCTGCAACTGCTGGTCTCCTGACTCCAATTTAGACCTCAGTTCAAATGGCACATACCTGGAAAGTTTTGCCTGTCTTCTCCAGACAAGGTATACATCTTGGCTATGTGCTGCCACAGCACCCTATGGTTTTCCGTCAAAGAACTTACTGTGCTTTATTTTAATATTTAGTTAGAATGTATATGTGAAGGCAGATAACTAATTTGTTAAGGCAGGGACCATTTCTACTATGCTCACCATTGATTGCTCAATATGATGCTTCCTATTAATTAATATGTTTAGTAAATTACTTCCAACCCTAACATAATACCTGACATGATTCGCTTATTCAGCGTTCATTGAGTCAATACATGAGCACACAAAACAATAGGATTCACACCACTTTGATAGTGTTCCATCCAAGCATTCCTAAAAGAGTTGTTTTCCATGTACTTATATTTTTCAGAGGCCCAAGCTACTCTGGTCACTGGAATACCATTTTATTACTTCTCTTTAGGCCAACCAGTAAACGGAGGTCCACTTTTGTTGGTAGTATTCCTTCACTTCTTTCTCCGAAACTGTGGTTTGGTTTTGTAGAGCACATCAGGGCTGGAATAACCTGCCTTATTCTAATGCAATTTCAAAAATTCTCTCACATTGAGTTGCTTGGAGACTGAAAAGAAACTGCCAGATCCCCTCTCACCTGGATTCCTTCCAATCACCACCTCCCTTTCTCCTCTTGGGGGAAGCCTGAGCTCATTCATCTCCAATGAAAAGCCATTCACTACAACTTAGAAAGTGGCTACCTTCCATGATCAGGTGTCTCAAAATCTAGATGGAAGCGCCTGTACTTTAGCCTAAAGTATTCAGTCTTGGTAAAGTCCTGCTCCTCTCAAGCTTCCTATCATTTGGAAGAATTAAGACTTGGCAGAGTTATCAACTTCCTTTGAACCTGGACAGCATTTTGTACCCTGCTGTTTTAATCATTTGGGTATATCTGTCCTTGTCCTTCCTGCCACCCTTATCTCAAAATCTCAGGTTATAAAATATACTAAAGAGGAGCCTGTATCTTATTTCTCAGTCTCTGATGCTAGTACAACAACGGGCACACAGTGGTCTAAATTATTAGCGGAAATAAATGAGACTGACCATTTCTTTCCCCAGCTTTGAACCTAAATACATTTGCACACACACCCCCCTCTCCCAACAAGTTATTCCACCTCGCAGCAACTCAAGTCCCCGGGCCCGGTCCCCGCGCTAGGCTTCCCACGGCTTTTCAGACTCTGATGTCCAGTATAAAACGCTGTGGGGATCTGGCCACTAACCCACTGCTCCTGGAAAGTTGTAAGGCGTCCCGCTGTCATATGTAAAGTTAGAAAGAAAGAAAGTTAGCCTATGGACTTCAGGTAAAAGGCAAGGGGGGTTCGCTGGAGACCACTCACCCTCCCTAAACCAGGGGGCCATGTAGCAGAGAATGTGAGTAGGATCCAGAATCTTCCTGACATAGTCTCGGAAGGTGAGCAGATTCTGTCGCTGCTCGGTCGTCATCCGGCCTCGGCTCCCGCGCAGGGTCTGCCAGGCTGGGCGCCGGCTCCCTTTTAAAGCTGTAGGGGAGGAGGCCACCGCCAGGAGGGTAGGGATTTTCCCAGAAATGGATCCTAGCTGAGAGGCGGAGCGGCTGGGGAACTTAATTACAACTGAGAAAACGGAAACCGAAACTAGCGGCCGCTGGGGCTGGGGAGGCGCGGGACCTTCCCAGCTCCGCGCAGCTCAGTTTCGTTTTCTGCGGACCCCGGGGAGCTGGCCGACCCAGAGGCCCCCAGGAGCAGCCCTGGGGATTGCTTTTATGTTTATGTATCTTATTTTTTGGTTTCGCTTTTATAATGATAGCAGTTTTAGTTTCAGTAAAACGTGCACAACTTAAGTGTGCAATACGATGAGTTTTGGAAGACATGTACCGGTTTTACCTCTTCTCCCAGCTGGATCCCCTGGTAAACAGCATTGTTTTAACCTAGGAAATGGCCACCTGTTTACCAAAGTGACCATATCAGGTTGCATTCCCACTCGCACAAGAGAGCTGCAGTAGACACATATCCAGTACACGCATTGGTTTCTTTGTTAACTTCCTCACTGGTCCATGTGAAATCATTTATTATTGTGGTTATTAATGTAGTTTTGATTTTCCTTATAAGGATGCTGAACACATTTGCTTGTGCTTATGGGCCTTTCATGTAATTTCCTTTGTAAATCGTCTGTCCCTATCTTTTGCTTTGTTTTGGAGAGTTTTGTTGTTGTTGTTGTTGTTGTGTTTCAATAGACTGACAGGAGTTACTTATTCTGGGTACAAAGTTGTCAAATAAAATGTATTCGAAGTATCTTCTCCCAGTCTGTGGCTTGCCATTTCATTTTCTTAAAGCTGTCTTTTGAAGAGCAAAAGTTTACATTGACAAAATCTAATTTATCAGCATTTTCTTCTGTCTACTGCTTTTTGTGAGCTTTAATTGCTCCTTAATAAATCTTTGCAAAAATAAATAAATAATCTTTGTCTGCCAGGAGGTCATTAAGATACTTTGTTTTTTCTTTTAGACTCCTTATATTTTTATCTTTTACTTTTACGTCTATAATTATCTTGAATTAATTTTAGGGCAGTATGACATAGAGATCCAAGTTCACTCTTTCCATGCTTCTGATATACATACCAGCACCATTTGTTGACAACTTTTCTTTGTTTTGTTGAACACTTAATTGACTGCATGTGTGTAGATCTAGTTCTGACTCTTTTATTTCCTATTCTAGTTTCCATTTCGGTTTTCTGACTTTTATTTCCTATTCTCTTAGGGGAAGCCTGAGAGCTCATTCATCTCCAATGGAAAGCATTACCTACAACTTACAAAATGGCTATCTTCCATGATCAGGTGTCTCAAAATCTAGATGGAAGCGCCTGTACTTTAAAAGTATTCAGTCTTAGTAAAGTCCTGCTCCTCTCAAGCTTCCTGTCATTTGGAAGAATTAAGACTTGGCAGGGTTAACAACTTCCTTTGAATTTGAACAGCATTTTGTACCCTGCTGTTTTAATCATTTGGGTACATCTTATCAATTTAAAAAAAAAAAAAAAAATTGCACACAATGTATAATATGATGTTGCCCAGAAACTCCAATAAACATTCTTATGAATTTTTCATTTCTTATAACTTGCACGAATTGAGTCTATTCTGTTCAGATCTGTGAATAAAACAAAGCTGACAATATATTATGTATATATACACTTTTTTCTGTCCTAAGAGAAATCATTAAGTATGAGTACATTTAGTATTCAATGAACAACAAATTCTGATTCCCTATACCTTGGAGGTAATGCAGAAGGCTGACACATTCCAAAATTATGTGTGACCAAATCTACCCTGCCTCTTTGGCTCACCACAACATACCAAAATTAGAGCAGTGATTAATATCCAAGTGTATTGTTTTCACTAAAATTAATCTTCAAGCCAATACCTGAAGAACTTTTCTAATACTTTCAATTAAATATTATTTTATGACTTTTCCGTCAAGTGTAATATACACAACAATTATTTCAAGTCAGAAAAAAAGAGGGTGATTCCCCCCTGCCCTTTAAAAAAAAAAAAGTTTCATATCATTTTTAAAAATCCACTTCAAGTAATTCCTTACACAATTTTCCTTATAAAGAGACTCTAGAAAGGCAAAAATCAATATATTTAAAGTGTTGTCATCAAAATAACCAAATGGACTTGAAATTTACTTTTGTACAATTTAAAATTCTGTACTACCTAGGTTCCAGGCCAAAAAGCACTTATAGATGGAGGAAAGACAATTCTGATACCCTAGGTTCATATATTTCTATGTATGTAACAGCTTCAGTTCTCCAAAATACTAGGTTTAGGTTTTTTGTTTGTTTGTTTGTTTGGTTCTATATCTAAAATATTTTTAAATCTCAAAGGTAATTTAAAATTAGGGGGTAATTACATTTTTTAAATTTCGTGGATGAAGATCATTAAACCGTAGCAACTCGCAATTCTGCATAAGTGAGAATAAACATCAGAAAGTCCAAAGGGAAGAGCTAATACATGAAGATGCACCATCTGGAATTCTATGACAGTCGGAACGCATTGGGATTCAATTACTTCAATTAACCGCTTTATGGCAGAAGGCAGGTGTTTCATGATGGTTGCAGATTATACCCACGCCAATGAGATATATGCACACCATTACTGCTGCGGTCACACTCTGTGATAATTCAGAAATCCAAATTTAACCTCAGAATATCTAAAACTGGAGTATGAATTTGAAGGTAGTTCAAACAACAGTTGATTGAAACCAACAATCTTTTTTTTTTTTCCTTTAAGGCTATAAAAAGTCTAAACATAAATAAGGCAATTAATTCTCAGGATAAAAATGCACCCTAATAGTCAAGGTGTCCAGTCAGATTCCACAGTGAGTATATGCTGTATCACCTTCTATTCCACAGGTGTACTTTCTTATTAGTGTCTATAGGATTAAGATCGATTCTTTATTAGCTGCTCAAACAGACTCCTTTATTAGTAAATATTGTGATATTTCATTAGGTTCCCTGAACAGGGAAAGTGGGACATGCATTAAGTAAGCAATTTTGCTCTCATGATCTTATAGGTAATGATCTTGTAGGTCTCCTCTACCTAATAGTAAAGCCAAGTGTCATTTATTCTGATAAACACCCCATCGAGTCTCAAGAAAAACCACAACAGCAGAAAAAAAGCTAGAAAGCATAACTCTAATTTTTACAGACCTGAAACACCATGATAATGAAGTACATCTTCAAATAGGAGAACTTCTTCAAAGAATTGTCTGTTCTCTGGCTTTCAATTTCTCTGTATCTGTATGATCTGTTGCAAGTATCTTTCTATTAAGAGATTCTCTAACATTCCTTTATAACCTTTATCATCTGTTGCATTTAAGTAGGACAGACCAGCCAAGACACCTAACAGGAAGCAGGTTTATAGGCTGCAGCCAGGTTCAAAAGGGGGGGCTCTTTGCCTCCATTAAATCACCCCTCTGAACCCTGAGTTCAGAAAGTTTTAGAACTCTCAGGCTGGGGATGTGGCTCAAGTGGTAGTGCACTCACCAGGCATGCGTGCGGCCTGGGTTCCATCCTCAGCACAACATACAAACAAAGATGTTGTGTCCGCCGAAAACTAAAAAATAAATATTAAAATTCTTTCTCTCTATTAAAAAAAAGTTTTAGAACTCTATACCTAGTGTGTAAGGGGAAGGGCTCAGAAGCTCACAATCTGTAGAAGTTCACATAAAAGCAGCTTTTTTACTCTTCTGGGCACCCAATTCAGGCCAAGGACACTCTGAAAGTCAGTGTCTGGGAAAGGGAAAGTGACCCTCTCCTTTCTTCCCACAGTCCTTTGAGATGCAAATGCCTCTATCAAGGTTCCAGACCCAGGCTGGAGGCTGGAGTCCCTCACTTGGTCTCTGCAAACACACTCTCCACCTGAAAACTGTTGTAGAAATTCTTGCAGATAGTCTAAGAACAATTATCTAAACAGAATTTTTGAGGGTCTCTGGAGAAGCTTAGTTATGGCAGGGTTCTTCTGGGTCGGGGGGTCTCTGGCCTGCTTCGGTATAGGTCCAATCATATGGTTTAGTAACTTCTTTCTCGAGTGTTCACCCTCACTTCTGCTTTCCAGCTACTTTTCTGCACAGGCTACTTCAAGCATTCCTTGGTAGTTGTTTATACATCTGAATGCATCCTTAGCATTGAACTCAATCCCAAAGCCAGAGCCATGCTGGATTTTCTCTCTTTCCCACCCCGCTCCCTCCCTCGAAGGGGTCTCCCTAAGTTGCTTATGGCCTTGCTAAATTGCTGAAGCTGGCTTTGTACTTGTGGTCCTCCTGCCTCAGCCTCCTGAGCTGCTGTGATTACAGGCCTGCACCACTGCATCTGGCCCATGTTGGATTCTTAAAACCTTGTCTTCTAACATCATTTTAAATCTCTGCTGACTTCATGAGGTGGGTCTTGGTGGCCTTCAGTTTCCAGAGTCAGAAAGAGAAGTCCTGGTGGCTACTCTGCAAGCTGTGGACCATTCTGGCAAGGTGAGCCCCTGGGGCTTGGAACACACAGGAGTGGCAGAAATCACCATATCTCTGATGCCTGCGGCCCCTCCATTTGTAATAGTTTCTAATATCCCTGTGATTTCTTCTTTCACCTATGGCTTACATAGAAGAGTATTGTTTGTTTTTCAAATACTGGGAATTTTCTAAATGGTTTAGTGCTACTGACTTCTGATTTTAATCTGTTGTGGTCAGAGGGCTGATGCTGTAAGATTTCAGTCTTGAAGTTTTCTGATATGAACTACCTTTGATATACATCAGGCACACGTAAGAAGAATGGTCATCTGCAGTTCATGAGTATAGTGTTCTATAATGTCGGTTATGTCAGATTGATTTATAAAGTTACCCAAGTCTCTTAAATCTGTACTAATTTTCTTTCTGCTTGTTCTATCAAATGCGGAGCAGGGTGTTAAAATCTCCAGCTACAATTATAGATATATCCATTTGTCCCTTTTGTTCTACACTTTTTTGCTTCATAAATCTTGTAGCTGTTATTTGAAGCATTCACATTTAGGATGGTTAGGTCTTTCTGATAAATTTTGGTTTTCTTTGTCATTATGAAAAGTTT